GCAAGCATTGCCCCTCTCTTGATCAATGCACATAGAATTGGCTCTAACAATAGATCTCATTATAATTGTCCACTAAGATACGTGCACTAAGAATAAAATTTTACAGGAAGCAAGAGCCCATGGTACATTTAAATTCAGAGTCCCTAAAGTTCAGTTTTTCCACAACATTTCCCCTGAGGCACTGCAGATAAGGAACGTTTGAAAACCCACCTCAGCCAGACTCACAGAGGCTGGCATAAGGTGTAAGTGGCTTGCTTCAGGTTATGTTAAGGTTGTCAACAATGGCAAATTATATCATGCGGTAGATGTTGATGAAAGTCAAGATCACCTGTATATATTTGCACTATTATACCTGCAAGAAGCCCAGAAGAATACAGAGAGAGAGAGAGAGAGAGAGAGAGAGAGAGAGAGAGAGAGAGAGAGAAGGCTAGATTCCCCATCAGCATGGAATCGCTGTTATAGGATTCCAATACAGAAACCTATGTAAAGGACAAATGAGTCACAGTTTACACTGATATGTTGCTTGTAAGAAGCTGTTTAGTATGATTATTATAGATGTTGATTCATTTTATATATTCATTTTATAGGTCAAAAGTGAAATTAATGATCTACAGGTCGGGGGGGGGGGGGCGAGTCATCAGGTGCCCTTGATCTGTGCTTGAGGTCTGGGTGGAGCATGGTTTGTAGTATGGACTGGATTAAGGAGGGTTGGGTTGGAATGCTAAACTAGGGGAACATTTCTTCTTTGAGTTAGGGAGCTGGGACTGCATGTTTTCCTAGGTTCCCTCCCACCAGGAAATTAAGTGTTCTGTTTTGTTTCCAATGGGGATAATTAAGAATTTCCGGCATGCTTTTAATGTATCTGCAAAGCTGATCTGAGATGTTCATGATCAGTAGCAACTAGCCACCAATGAAACAAGCTGCTGGATATCCCTTTATAAATATATTGAGAACTTCTTTTTGTTACCGTCTACAGAAAGCTATTTTTTTACTAGTAAGACATGTAGAAGACTCCAATGAACACAAGGAGGTAACACTGCTCCTTTCTCAACTTATGCTGCAAAATTTGGAATCATACAAGGAAAACAGATTGCAGTCCTTCAAGGTGTGAGCACAATCAGTAAGTCTGTTTATGTTTACTGTAATGGCTGAAGAAGAACTAAAGGGTACAGGAGAAGCTACTGTGAGTATAGTGAATTCCGTGCTATTATGTTTACTGTAATGGCTGAAGAACTAAAGGGTACAGGAGAGCTACTGTGAGTATAGTGAATTCCGTGCTGAAGTAAGTGCAAATCCCCACTCTACCATGAAGATCACTGGATGACCTTAGACTTTTCACTTCTTCTCTGCCTAACTTACCTCTTAGGACTGTTTTGGAGAAAAAGGACATTGTACACTGCCCTGAGCTGCTTGACTAAAAGATGGGGTAAGGGTGTAATATGTAGCTGAAGAGGCACCCTCCTTATTTTTCAGCATAACTGTAAACTGTACAAGCTATTTCAAAGGAAGAACTTGAATTACCTTTGTAATATTTGTTCTGCTGTTATGTTCAGAGGGATATTTTTCACATATACAATTTCCTTCTTCCCATAGGTGTCATGGGAAGTCATGGTAGGAAACCAAACTGATGAAGGCTTCTTTTGGCTCCTCGGCCTTTCCAATGATCTTCAGCTCCAGGTTCTCCTATTTGTCCTGTTCTTGTTAATTTATCTGTTAACTGTAGTGGCAAATGTTATGATCGTGATGGCTGTGAAATCCAACCCTAAGCTTCAGAACCCCATGTACTTCTTCTTGAGTCATCTCTCTTTCCTGGATGTCTGTTACTCATCTGTCACACTCCCAAAGATGCTGGAGACCACCATTGCCAAAGAGAAGACTATATCTGTCAGTGGATGCTTTGCTCAGGCATTCTTTATTTTGTTTTCAGCCACTATAGAGGGTTTCATTCTCTCATCAATGGCTTATGACAGGTACTGTGCCATATGCAAACCACTGCATTACATGAACATCATGAATATAGCATTCAGTTGGAAGCTAGTGGCTACTTCATGGACAATTGGTTTCTTGAATGCACTTGCAAACACCTTGCCACTTTTACGGTTAGAATTCTGTGGGGCAAACATCATAAAGCACTTCAGTTGTGAGCTGCCTTCTATCCTTTCTTTGTCCTGCTCTGACACATTCATGAACAAAATGTTGTTCTTCATGGCTGGAGGCACAGTTGGTGTAGTCACTGTTTTCCTCATTGTAGTCTCCTATATTCATATCATTTCTACCATCCTGAGAATCACCTCCACAAAGGGGAGGCAGAAAGCTTTCTCTACCTGCAGTTCCCACCTAAGTGTAGTGACTCTTTTCTATGGGACAAGTTACTTCCGCTATCTTAGACCAAGCTCAGCATCATCTGTGGTTTGGGATGAAATACTTTCCATACAATACAGCATCCTCATACCATTACTAAACCCCATCATCTACAGCTTACCAAACAAGGAGATGAAGGCATCATTTAAGAAGATATTAAAATGGTGACATTCTGGGACCTTTCAAAAATAAGCATCTGTCCAAGTCTTCACCCACAAGTCTTCTTGATTATGTATAACTTAATCTTTGTTTCCAAACTAGAACTGATGTATTGGGAAATGTCTGTTTTTGCTTCTTTCCCATTTCTGAGCATTGTATCAGCCACAGCAGGGGCACAGTCAGCAGGAGTTCTGTATATTTGCAGTACATGAAAGTCAGCATGATATAATGGTTAGATGAGTCGGACTAGGAGCTGGAAGACCCAGGTTTGAATCCCCAGTCTGCCTATTGTACTATCAAAATGATCTTAATGAAAAATTATAAAGAATAAGTAAAATGTCACTGACCTAATCTTAGCCATTCATGTTGGTTGGACAAACATTTTATTTTAGCATTATAATTTTCATTAGGATCATTTTGATAGTATAACCCAAATATATGTACATATAATAATATTATATGCACATATATTTGGTTTATACTATCAAAATGATCCTAATATAATATAATAATATTATAATGAATATAATATTATTATAATATATATCATAATATAATAATACTAATATTATGAAGTTGCTGTGGTGGCTTAAGTGGTTAAGACGCTGAACTGCAGGCTGTGGAAGGTTGGTAGTTCAGCAGTTTGAGACCCGAGTGTGCTGCATGACAGAGTGAGTTCCCGTCTTTAGTTCCAGCTCCTGCCAACCTAGCAGTTCGAAAGCAAGAAATTGCAAGTAGATAAATAGGTACCACTTCAGTGGGAAGGTAACAGCATTCCGTGCGCCTTGGTGTTTAGTCATGCCGGCCACATGACCACGGAAACGTTTTCGGACAGCGCTGGCTCTTCAGCTTTGAAATGGAGATGAGCACCGCAACCCTATAGTCCAATTCGACTGGCTTTCGAGCAAGGGAACCTTTACCTTCTTAATAATGTTATACCATTATGAACTGGGGAATTAGATGTAATTTAAATGTGATTTTTAACCTGACATTTTTATATGTGAGCAAAATCAATTTTTTTAATGTTTCCATTTGACTATGTGGAATAAAATGCACTTCTGTGTGATTATTAACATTTCTTCCCAGCGAGTTTTTGTTTTTTATTATTATTGCATTTTCTTAGTGCTTTAATTAAAATATTAATTTTTGGTCTTCATTTTTCAGCAATCAGTTAACACATGGTCTGGCTAATTATATCAACCCTTGTTCTTGGTGTGTATGTGTGAAGAAGGCTCATATGGACAATATGTGTTTGGTGTTTTTTACTGTGGCTTTGCTTGTGACCTCTCCTCATTCAGGTAGTCCCTGAGTCTGATTTACTGTGGGCTTTTTTGTATACCATCAGGTTTGAGATACTCATTTGTATTATATATTGTATATTCAGGACTACTTAATCTGGTTATTTGTGCCGAAAGGCTAATTCAAAGCCTATGTTTTTAAGTTTATATTTTAAAGACAGTGTATAATAAATTTGAGGAGCTGTGGTGGCTCAAGTGGTTAAGACACTGAACTGCAGGCTGTGGAAGGTCAGTAGTTCAGCAGTTCAAGACCCGGGTGCCGCAAGACAGGGTGAGCTCCTGTCTCTAGTTCCAGCTCCTGCCAACCTAGCAGTTCGAAAGCAAGAAATTGCAAGTAGATAAATAGGTACGACTTCGGTGGGAAGGTAGCAGCGTTCCGTGCGCCTTGGTGTTTAGTCATGCCGACCACATGACCACGGAAACGTCTTCGGACAGCGCTGGCTCTTCGGCTTTGAAACGGAGATGAGCACTGCAACCCTAGAGTCGGATTTGACTGGCTTTCGAGCAAGGGAACCTTTACCTTATAATAAATTTATTTTGTTTAATTAATATATATATATATAGACTCACACAAACATACACACATAAACATTTTTACTCTTCCTTTTTGATATCTAATTCAATTTTTGATTGGGTCTCTCCCCTTTTGGCAACATTGCCTTGTCATTGGGTGATCACCTTTTGCAAACAACAAGGGAGAAGAATTGTAGAGGGGACTTTATTGAAATCTTTAGCCTTCTTTATCGTGGTCTTGAGAAGAAGGAGAAAGAGGAGCTTGATGACAAGGACAAAGAGACACTTAAGAGACGAAGGGTGGACAGAACGTGGGCAAACTGGCTGCCCAGTTTTTATTATTTACACTGGCGTGATCCCATTTTCACAGCCATGGAGGGCTGCAGCTCTCTTTCAATATTTAGACATTATATATAAAGGTTATGCCGGCTTTACTGGCCCAGTCTGGTTGATATATGATGAGGAATTTCGAATGTGAGCTGCCATGAATCCTGCCTTTCCGTGGGACATAATCTATTCTCACCTTGGGCTGCAAGTCATGTCCCCAACTAGGCCCAGTTCTGCTTCGGCTTCCCGTGGTTCCACGGGGCAGGTGGTTTAGCCCCACTTGCTTTGTTGGGAATTTGGTTCCCAGGGGGTCTGCAACAGGAAAGCCTGCCTTTAACAAGCATGAATGCCCCTTATGTGGAGGACATCACTCATTCTCAGCGTGTTCCAAGGGGAAGCTCCGTAGGACTCAGCGACAAAGGGGTGGCAGTGGCTCCTTCTCTGCTGTGGGAAAAGGGTCCCAGCCCACTAAAGCTGAAGGTTCTTGAAGCTTCGTTACAGTGGTATCGCAAGAGGGAAGGTGGTCTTTATTTGTTGGAAGGTTTGGAAGTTGGGTTTTGTATTCTTTTTCATGGACTGAGGGCCCCATTCATGGCTCATAATCTCCAGTCAGTGAAGGGCATGGAGGGGATGGTTAAGAAAAAGATAGAGAAGGAAAGAGCTGAGGGTCGGGTTTGGGGCCCCTTTTCCTCACCACCACTTCCTAATGTAAGGGCTTCTCCTCTTGGGATAGTGCCTAAGAAGGCGGCTGGTGCATTTCAGCTAATTCACCACCTTTCATACCCTTGAGGTGAATCTGTTAATGATACCATTCCTTCTCACTTATGCATGGTGAGATACACCTCAGTTGACCAGGTAGTTCATGTTGTATGATGTTGTGGTTGGGGGGCTGAGTTGGTGAAGTGTTATAGTAAGTCTGCATTTCACCTCCTCCCTGTGCATCCTGATGATTTTGAGCTGTTAGGGTTTTCCTTTAATGGCCAGTTTTTTATGGATAGGGCTTTGCCTATGGGAAGTTCTGTGTCATGTGCTGCATTTGAACACTTCATTCCTGGACTGGGCATTGCAAGCAAAAAACAGGGCTGCAGGATGTCACCCAATAACTGGATGGCTTCCATTTTGTGGGTCCACAGGAAACTGGCAGATGTACTCTGCTGTTGGTTGGATTTCAGCAATTAGCTGAGGAGATGGGGGTCCCGTTGGCCCATGAAAAAAAAAAGAGGACCCTGTACACAGTTAGTCCTTTTAGGGCTGGAACTAGATACGGTGGCCCAAACACCCCACTTGCCCATGGATAAGGTTGAGAATTTGAGGGTCTGGCTTTGCTCCTTTTTAAGGAAGCAGAAAGTCACTTTAAGGAAGCTACAACAGCTGGCAGGGCATCTCAACTTTGCATGCAAAGTTGTCGCCCTAGGGCAAGCTTTTTTGCAGAGGCTCTGCAATGCCATGGCAGGGCTGCAGCTCCCGCACCATAGAGTACGCATCAAAAGTGATATGTATACTGATCTTTCATTTTGGCAGGCATTTTTGGATTCCTTCAATGGAGTCTCCTTTTGGAGAGAGGAGTTAAAGTTTGAAGCTAAGCTTCAGGTTACCTCTGATGCAGCAGGGTCATACGGGTTTGGGATCTTTTTCAGGGGCCACTGGTATGCAGAAGAATGGCCCAAGGAATGGGTCTCAGCTGGTTTTTCTAGGGATCTCATGTTTTTAGAGGTTTTTCCCTATATTAGTGGCAATTTGGCCATGGGGAGATGAATTATCAGATCACACAGTCCATTTCTGGTGTGACAATTTAGTGGTGGCTCACATACTGGGAAAGATTGAAGGTCAAAGAAGACGGGGACGACAAAGGATGAGATGGTTAGACAGTGTCATCGATGCAACGAACATGAAGTTGAGCAAACTTCAGAGGATGGTGGAAGACCGGAGGGCCTGGAGGGAGCTGGTCCATGGGGTCGCAAAGAGTTGGACTCGACTGTGCGACTGAACAACAACAACACATACTCAATTCACTCACATCCAAATTGGCAAGAGTGATGAGGCTAGTTCGCACCTTTACCCTGAATTGCCTTTGGCTCAACACACTGGTTTTTGCTCAGCATGTGCCTGTAGTGGACAATGTGGTGGTTGACTCTCTCTCTCACAAACAGATGGAGAGGTTTTATCAGCTTGCTCCAGAGGCTGATCATCTGCCAGCAAGGATGTCCCCGGAGCTCTTGCTGGTTGGAGGGCTGAGGCTTGCAGAGTTATAGGCCTCACTATTTCCCCTAGCACACGGAAAGGGTATGAACATGCAGTTCACCAGTTTGAAGAGTTTAGAAATAAGGAGGGTTATCCCAAGGTTTGGCCCATTTTGGTGGAGCAAGTTATCCACTATTGTGTGTCTTTAAGAGAAACCAGCTTGGCTGTGTGTTCCATTCGGGGCTGACTTTCTGCCCTGGCTTTTGATAGCAAGGCTTTAGATTTTCAGGAAGTCACCAATGACTTCTGGATATGAAAGATGCTTGAGGGTTGGTCCCGGGAAGGGGGAGTTCAGAAGGATGAGAGGCAGCCCATTTCCCCGGCAGTCCTCGACGGGTTGTGGACAACCTGGGGTGCAGTTTACAATTCTGGATATGAAGCTTAACTTTTTCATGCAGCTTTGTTGCTTGCATTCTTTGGGGCTCTCTGGGTTAGTGAACTGGCTGCTCTGTCTAAGACTGACCAGTCTTGCAAAGCTTTGCAGGTGTGGGACTTTCAGTTCATCAGCAAAGAGTCACATGTAACAATCAGGCGCTCTAAGACTGACCAGCGAGGTAAAGGATCGGTGGTCAGGTTAGGTACCTGTTCCAATTTGGAGCTCTGCCCAGTATTATCATTGTCCCAGTACATGGTATTGTGAGGAAGGGTGGACAGTTACCCCTTTCATCATGCTGACGGGAGTCCACAGTTTTGAGCTGTTACTGCCCAGGCTTTGAACAAGTTGGACCTCTTAGGAGTGAAATTTGGTACTCACTCTTTCAGGATAGGCGCTGCTTCCACCGCTGCAGCCTTAGGCTATACCACTAAGTAAAACACTAAATCACTGTTTATAATTTTACATTTTTTTCTGTTTTTATATTATGTTAAATGTGAATTATTAAAGTATTTTTATAATGATTCATTAACACAATTACAACTTAAGCATTAACCATGAAGCTCAACAGTACATTCAGAATGATGTCACTTCTGTAGAAATATTTACAGCCAATAATAAGGTCTTATCTTAGGTACAAGGTCCTAATCTAATATACTTATTACAAAAACAACAAATACAAACAACGGCATTCTAGTAATCATTCTGTTTGAGTATTCTTCATCAGGTTTGTCTGTTGTTGTTGATTCAACACAATCTTTTTTTTTAAGCCCCCGGAGGGGATTTTTTATTGATTTTTTAAACACTACAAAAACTAGAACAGAAAAAAGGGAAAGGGAAAGCTACATATAAGGGAGAAAGTAAAGAACCCACTACTAACTAAAAACCCAAGAGAGGAGATCTCCAACTAGCTTTTTATACTTCATTCAGACTTTTCATCTTTGTACTTCTTATGAACTGTGTCAATCTTTTAACCCTTTTAACCATCCCCAGTTACATTTAATTGCCCAATAACAGTGCCCCCCATCATCCCCTAGAAACAAAAGTTCTCAAAGGAACAATTCAGAGTCCTTCAGCCTTTACTTCTTCGTCTCTCTCTTCCGCAGTTTGTAGGAACTTTTCGGGGCTGATGCCCCCTGCTCAGACAAAGAGTCCTCACCAGACGAACCAGTTTCCAGCTCTCCACTGGACTTATCGTCCTCTTCTTTTTTCTCATCCTCTGGCCTTCCCAGCTGCTCCTTTAGAAACTCTTGAGCTTTAAGAACAGAGTCAATCTTGACCTTCTTCTCCTTGATCTTGAATATTACTCCTTCTGGAAACAGCCATTTATATCCAATTGAGTTTGTTTGGAGGAAAAACACAAGTTCTTTGTATTTCTTTCTGCATTGTCTTACTTCAAATGGAGTATAAACAGACGCTTTTAATAAACAGAATAAAGTTTATTTAGTACAGGCTTGCAATCAGACTACTCAGGATTACAAAATAACAAAACTTATGGCCGATGGCCCTAACTAAACATTAGAGATCTGCATAGTTACCAGGATGATCCATAGTCAAGAAGTCTCAGTATAAAGTCCAATTAGGTCCCATCTTTGTGCAAGCATGTAGCCATGTGCTCAGCTCCAAAGAAATCCTTTGTCTCTGTTAGGAGCCACATGGTAGCATAGCAT